ACCGACTTTACAGGCAACCATTTATTTTTTAAAGATATTTATTTATTAAGACTGTGAGAAAAAACATAAATCAGAATCTAACTCTTCTATTCCGCTCATCTCTGCATTACCGCCGGAGTAGTTATGAATAATTATGCACTATTACTAGGTCACATACGAACATGCATCCTTTATGTAAACGAAAGTTTGAAATCGAGTTTCTGAAGGCAACTTAAAGTGACATTTGGTTGACGATTTAGGTTATTAACCATTCATGGCGAAAGCTCAATAAGTAAAAAAAAAATATCAACCGATATTAATTATCAATATTTGTTATTATTTGTTTACAAATGTTTGATTTTTATTCTTGAATCAGCAAAGCGCTAAAAAAGGGTTCCAAGATTTTTTTGCAGACCGTACTTTTCAAGCGACATTTGACAGATAGAGGTCATTGGCTTTCCTATTCTTATTTGAATCGCATTATACTACTAAGCGGGCTGAAATATTATATGGAAATCCATTTTTAACGCGCTGAATGGGCAGAAAAGTGGATGGAAATTCATTGGTAGCGTGGTGTTTTTTTTTCATTTATGTTCTGAAAAATGCTCAGTGTGATTTTGCAGATTTTGTAACCAATTTTTTAACAATATACTGTTTGCTTTCTGAATTAATAAAAAAGGAACAAAAATAAAAAAAAGTATTATTTTATTTTATAATAACTGAGTTTTTATTCATTTGCTTTCTTATCTAGTCGAGACTACGTATATTTCTGATAACGATTGAGAACCCTTCCGTGCAATCAAGAAACCAATAAAAATCTCCTATGCAAAAGTGTAGTAACTATAACAATTTTAATATAAATTTTAAAGAATTTGTCTTTTATTTCCCCATATAGTATAGAGCACTATGTATTCCTGGAAAGGGAGTGCTATTTCCAACTTGGGTGGTTTAAGGCCCTTGGCTGCGCTTCGGGCCTCAAACTACACCCTCATAGGTAATCGGTCACTTTCTCCTCTCGATGAACTATGTACTATTATACGCATGCAAGCCCCTCTAGCATGACCACCGAAACGGGATATGATAAAGCTTTTTATCGAGTCTCAACTGTCAAACTCGACTGTAGTCTGAAAGTTAATGCCGATATATCGCTTTATCATATCCCGTTTCGGTGATCATACTAGAGGGGCAGGTGTTTTTATGAGAACGCCGTGCATAGTGTAAAGAGGTGTAAAGTTTCTTTAAATAAATTGCATCGTATGTGATACATTGTGAAATTCACTTGAGAACTTTTTCGTTTGGTAGTTCTAAATAGAGGTTTATGGAATTTTCTTGATAGTTTACATTGAACTCTAGCAAAATTAATAAAAAAAATGTTTGTTATAACTTGCCATCACGAAATCGGAATTATCTTTTTGCTGTTTTAAAGCGAACTTAATTTAATAGGAATGTCACTATAATTATCGACGTTCATTTATTCCTTCAACGTAATGAGCAGACGTGAAGGCTATGATAAAATGTCAATCATTTGCCTTTGCCTTAACGAAGACTGAACCGTGACTCGAGTGACAAAGGCTGGATCAACTAATTATTAATGTAATGAATAATGTCGCATTTTCTCGGCGTCTGACATCGTTCGTGATCAAGTTACAAAACGGTTTTTGTAAATGTGTCCGAATGAACAGAAAAGTTAAAAGAACATTTAGGGCAGGTCTGAAATATTAGGTAGTAGTTATAAATTGATAATGAGCAAATCCTGATAAAGTGCCAAATTATTGATAAAGCTCGAGAATTCAACAAGCCGACCAATATCTGCTTTGTGGATTTGTCTAAGGCATTTGATTCTGTCAAGTGGCCTAAGCTATGGAACACTTTATTGCAAATGGGTACAGCCAAACATCTTGTACCTACACATTTTGAGGCGTCTCTACGAGGATGGAAAAGTATCGGTGAGAACAAATGAATTCCTGTCGAATCAGTTTCACCCCAGTACCGTAGTCCGCCAAGGATCATGTATCGTCTTTTCACTTCTGTTTAATATTTACACTTAGCTCACCATGAGAATTGCGCTGGAGGACTGGCATGATGGTGTTGTGATTAGAGGTAAGACAATTTCAAACCTACACTACGCGGATGACACCACTCTATTTGCAACCAGTATTCCAAACATGGAAGATAGAAGGATAGAATGGAAAGCGTCAGCAGAGAGTTCGGGCTGAAAATTAATCAGACTAAAACAAAGACGATGAAAATGCGCCAATAACAACTCGCCCGAGATTACAAAAATCGCGAAGTGTGATGTGGTCCAATCGTACGTATATCTGGGCGCGTTAATTACTAATAATGGCGGACGCATCGATGAGATCAAACGTTGTATGGCTATTACTAGATCTGCCATGGTGAGACTAAAAAAGATATGGAAGAACCATATAATAAAATTAGTTTTTATTTTTGTTCCTTTTAACAATTTTATTACCTGCATTACTTATCTATGATTAGTGATTTGTCATTCCCGAGAATATGGGAAATTTACTGGGAATATATTTCCAAACTCACGTAACATTTCCAATAAATCCGTAATGTAATTAACATTTCCGTATAAATGTAGTTATGTTACATTGAGTAAAATAACGGGAATTTTGAATCAACCTTGTATTTTTTTTTATTGTACCTAAACGAATAACTTCTTTGTGGTCACGAAACTAATTTAAAATTTAACAATGTCACAAGGGTGCTGTTTTGACGACGGTGTTCATTGCAAGACATGGTTGCAATATACCATACAATTTAAACAACTTTATAGAAGTTGCAAGCTAAAATGTGCAAGGCCGACAAAGAAACATGGGGTGAGTGGTGCGTTAACCAGTACCATTTCCAATAACACAATCAGGACTTTAAAAATCTAGAAGAGACCACACGGAATATGAATAAATAATTAGTATTTAAGCAATCGTTCGGAATTCGGAAAAGGACAATGCTTAAAATATCGGTTCACGCGTTTGGTCTCTATTGTGCCGCAAAAGAACATACATACATAATTATAAAGACTATTAAACACGATAACATCTCTGCGCGTCGCGCTTCGCGCTGCAAGTGTGCACTAGTGTGCAACTTTCCTCATTCTTTTTTTTTCTGTAGAACCTTCTAGTACGAATTAATCGAAAACTTAGAAAAAATTGGGTGACAATAATAATAATAATAAATATTTTCAACACACACACCAATTAGCCTAGCCCCAAAGTAAGCACTGTAAGACTTGTGTTATGGGATACTAGGGAAACGGATAGAATACATAAACAGTTCATATATAAGTATATTTATAGAGAAATACATATTAAACATCCATGACTGGAGTACAAATGCTCGTATTCATCACACAAACATCTGCCCCCACCGGGATTCGAACCGGGACCTCTCGAGTCGGCGACACCATGAAACCCGGCGTACAAACCACTCGGCCACGGAGGTCGTCAAACAACAATGGCAATGGCAATGCAACAAGGGATTAATTTTTATATTATCCATTCACTTCCAAAATCCGCTGTTCTATTTTATACTAAAATATATAGGTCTATGACATTGATTTCGTGACGTGCAGGATGGTGGGGTGCATATTGTATCGACAGGGGCGCCGAGGGGGCGCGCACGTCACTAACATGATGATGTGCAATTAGTATTATCGTTTGGGGTTGGACAGGTGTTGGAAAGTCCACTTGGAGACGCAGGGGTGTGGACAATATGTTTACAGTTGGCAACGCTGTAGTCATCAAATAAAAAGCATAATCTAATATTTTTTATTGCTTCATATTATTAGTTTAACCAATAGCTACTAGTCAGGCGTTTACGTTTAAGTTACGTAAAATTATTTGGAAAATACTCAATGCAGTAAAAAGTTTGTGGTATCAGCCCACAGCCGGCACCGCGGAAAGATCTCCGTTTTCTTAGAATTAGATCAGATTAAATATTTATTTCCCATTCTAACTATTTATAAAGCCCTTTAAGAATACTCTAAAGTCACAAACTTGCCGGCTACGCCCTACTCAATGGGCATGTTTAGACGACTCGCGCCGAATATGTATACGCTATGTTTTTACTTCTTCTAAGCGAAGCCTCCACACTAGCTGAAGCGCGGTTTGGTAAGGCGGTTGCATTAAATTGAGTTTTAATTAAGATACATCAATAAATCTCAATTTGCGTTTATCGCGCGGATGTAATGCGTATGCGTAGTGTATGTAAGGCATGCGTGGTTGGACTTCTATAAATGGATTTAGAGCTTTATTGAAGTGATAAGACTCGAAGTCTATATAACCAATTTCGAAGCGTTTTGGAGGCGGGTGCTGATGATCGGGGCTTAAGCCCGTCACAGACGTAGCTATAATATATATTAATATGAATCATAGCAAGACATATTACAACATATTTTCGAGTACCGCACACGCAGCTATATTAAATATTTCTATGGCGTCACCAAAATATGTCGACAAATATATCTCGGTATATTTTGGCATATTAGTATATATTTTCATATATTTTTATGATACGGAATGTTCCATTTTTCACCGAAAGCCTGCCAAAATATATATTACAGTATAGCTCCCGTCTGTAGTAGTTTGCTATAATATAATATATATCTCGATATATTAATATATATTATAGCTACATCTGTGACGGGCTTTATGCGTAGCGTGCGCGTGTCGTCTGAATAAGGTCAAGATTTTGCGTTTAGTATTGCAAGGTGGTTTTCTGGTAACTACACGAATGTGCCTCACGCACACTTCTGTTGTGGCGCGTTGTATAAAATTGGAAACCATAAATTCACCACTTATTATGGGGTGCAAGCGAACAGTACTTATGGAAAGAGTCATACGACAATACGGGTGTTAGTACTGCAGGAGTACTCTAATTTATTACTTATTCGGTTACTAAAGTTGAGTAAACTCCATAATCACAGCCCGAATGCGCTACCAATCTCACTATTGAGTTACTCAAACAACCATATCTAAGCATTACATCTTGTTTATCAGGAAATGCCCCGAGAAGGAGTCGTGCGGGGCGGAGTTCGCAGCAGTCGGTAGCCGGCTGCGCGGCGCAATGGGCACCCGCCCGCCGGCCCGCTTCTGGCCGCAGCTTTGGGCCACCGTCGTCAGGAACCTGCTCCTCAAGAAGCGGGATACTAGGAAAACCCTAGCGGTACGTACGTACTTCAGTACTGTGATATCCGGGCGAAATACCTCGGCTCACCTGGAAACCTTCAAGCAATCATCAATGTGAAGGTCCTTGCACCGGGGGTTGCACCCGGCGGAGCTGGGTTGGCTGGATTGACTTCGGCAACACACCCTCCACTTGCAAAACACGAGTCTTAGGGATAACCAGTCGTGGGAATGCCCATTGCAAAGAAGAAGGGAAGAACTACGAACCGCTTATCAAGCGATATTACGGATTGGAGTCGTGTGGTGTGGAGTTTGCGGCGGTCGGTACCCGGCTGCACGGCACCATATGCACCCGCTCACCGGTCCGCTTCTGGCTGCGCATACAGGAAGGAGTTGTGTGAAGTCGTGTTGCGGACGCAAACGCTTCTATGTGCAGTACCCTTAGGACGAACCATTATCGAATTGGAATAGTTGAATTCGTTCTAATACGTCAAATGTGGCCTAATCTCCCTATTCCATCCATAGGGAAGGCCTGTGCTCCAGCAGTGGGGACATTAATAGGCTGATGATGATGATGATGTACTGATTTTATTTTTCGTGGTAGCGCTGCTTTTTTAAGGTTTCCAAACAAAATTTGACAATGACATTTTGTACTTGCAAACTATTCGAATTCGTTAATGGTTCGTACTAAGGGTACAGGTTTCAGTTCAGTGAAATTCCATGCTCATGTCCTCGTCTACTTCGTCTCCCCTTGCGCTAACTTAACAGCCGCCTTTAAGTTTGAATCGCAATAAACTTTACAATTGTTGGCATAGCCTTGAAGCGTGGCTACAAGGCACGTCATTGCCCACGGAATAAGGATTTTCCTATAAGTTTACCAATATTTTTTATAATGTCTAGAAATCGAAAGTGTTTCTGTTACATTTGCCATTTTAAAAGTGATTTCGAAGTCCAAACTACTTGGTATTCTTTTATACATAAAGATGCATTAGTATAGGTATATAAAGCGCAACTATTGCATTGATAATAAAGGTCAAGTTACAAAGATTTTTGATGTACGACTCTTTTCTATTAAAACAGTATTGTTGTGCAATTACGAATTCTCTACAAAAGAAAACTTGTCTGTTTTGTCATTTTTAAGCAAATTATTGGGCAAGTGGGTCAGGAATGCATTGGTTCGATCGTACGTACGTATAATTAAGTGCCCCCATTTCCACTTTGACCCGTTTTCGAAATGTGATTCTTCTATACACTTATGGCCCAGTATAAACCTGTATATAGAATTACCATTTTTATTTTTAGGAAGTTCTAGTGCCCCTCTACTCTCTTGGCGTGCTGATCTTCCTGAAGATGTTGGTGCCCAACCCAAACTTCCCTGAAGTGCGGAAGCCAGGCCGCCTGCTGAGGATCCATCACGACGCGTTTCCCGAAAACCACTCAGTGGCAGTGGTGGCTGATTGGCAAAATGCTAACGGGACAGTGGTAAAACTTCTTATTTTTGTAATGTTCCTTTAAGAAAACAGCACTCAGGCTATACATTAGAAAGCGGTTACCGTTGTCTAATGAAGCAAGCCTGCTGCTTTATAGAAGCTTCTCCATCCTTTTGATAAAAAAACGAGCGAGCCTTACAGTAGTTGCGTATGATGTAACATTTGAAACCTCACCTTATATTAGTAAAAAAAGAAATAAAACCTACTACAAAAGGAATAAGCCATTCGAACATTATGTTCTAAAAACAATTCAATTAGCGCGCGTTTTCGCGACTTCCTGTTACACACTTCCGTCCCATTTCACGAAATTACTCCCACTAATTGCAGGAAAGCGAGAGGAAAGATGTAACACATCAAAAAAACGATAATAACATTCTTGGAAAAACCAAGTACTGAAAAAACATCATTCCTCTTTTCCCAAAGCTAAAAGTTCTGAACATGCACAATCAGTAATTGTTTCAATAAATCTGTCGAACATGGTAATTTTCTGACTCAGGCAAGAATATGATAGTCAACGTGACTATGGGACCTTAAAGATGACGTATCTCATGCGCTTGTTTCTCGGATTCAAAAGTTTATTGGACCGTGCTATCTTTAATCTTCTGTTATTGTTCTGCCCAGGGTTTCCTCGACGAGATTAACTCCATGCTGGTTGAGTCGGGCCAGGACGGTATCCACTGGGTCCGCTACAACAACACTACCGAGCTCAACGACGCATATCACAGCGACGCTCGTCACTTCCCCATCGCTGTCATATTCCACACGGACCCCAGCTCATTCGAGGAGCCTTTGCGGTTAGCACTCATCGACATCATCGGTGTCTATATAGCTGTATTATTTCGTTTCGACTGCCATCAGCTTTTTTGGTCACTAATCTAATGAAAATTTATGTATACCAAGCATGACAGCCAAAAGGCGAAGTGAAAATTAGTAAAGTCGAGTTACACAAAATTAAGATCTGAAGATTTTTGTATGTTGTAGAAAAGTTATTTGCTGGTTAAGAGCAGACTCTTTCCTCATATTAATACAAAGGTATTTCGAAAAAAAACACATATTCAAAAACTGTGCAAGCAGTTAGACTTTGGTGCAGTAATTGTGGAAGTTAATGTACGCCCAACAACAGCTTGAAATCGTTCTTCCATTTCAGATATACTATCCGCACGAACCCCTCACACACCGGGACTCCTTCGACCCGCACCCAGTACACTTCCCCCGCAAAATGCAGAGAGAGAACCGGCGGGAAGGACTGGTCCTCCGACTGGTCCCGAGGTGGTCAGCTGATACCACTGTCCGAGATGCATAGGGAGGACACGTGCCCAGTCCTCCAGTACTACTACTCCGGTTTCTTGGCTCTACAGACGCTCATTGATTACATCAAAATAAAGGTAAAGAGAACAAAGGAGGTTTTTTTTTCTATATTTATGCAGACAGTTCACCTGATCGTAAGTGTCAATGCATTGCCGGCTCTGAAGAAAAAGGTTTACCCTCAGAATTAAGAATACTGCTAAATAACAGCGTCCCATGAAAGGCAGTGGCATGGCTGTGTCACTACTAGCTTTGCTGCTGCCACGAGCGGCGGTGACCTCTTCACATCAGGTGGCCCATCTGCACTGCAAGAGTACTTTATTGACTTCGAAAATCAATGAAAAAATTGTATTAAGATCAGCAGCAGTTATCATCAAGTTTGATTTAAGATTCTTAGTATCAGCATTACTTACTACTTTCAATTATCAGTTAGAAATCCACAGAAATCAAAGATTTTTATGGTTCAGTTTCTGTCTTTAGACGATTATCTTGGCGTTTTTATTCTACGCCTGTAAAATTTTAAGAAACATTTTAGTTCATATCAAAGGTAACTTACACTCATACTCATTTCATAACCCTTTTTAGACGAAAAAGTAGAAAATGTACCGCCCAAAAGTCTAATTTATCCATTTACAGAATTAAAGAACCACAATGGGCCAAATTCTAGCATGATTATCTAAACCTAAACTTAATTTTGACAATCGTGTATAATTGTCATTCTCTATACAAAATGAAAAGGAGAGACCGATGTTAAAATTAGTTTTAAGTTTAGAGAATCTTGAGAGAAGCGACACCATTGTCTTATTATCATTATTTAAAATAGTGTTTAATTTTATCCGTGACTAGTCTGTTTTCGACTGCAACTTCAACTTTTCTTTTGGAAATTTTCGTATTATTTTCCTTAAGACTCCTTGGTAGAGGGCTACCAAGGAGTTTACATACCTAACGGCAATCTTTAGGTAAATAAATTCCTTACCATCAACAAAACGTAAGAAAATTTTCGTTTAAAATTTGAAGGATTAGTAAACGCTTTCTCGAGTTGACGGGCGTGATGAAGGCTAATGATTTATTTTTACGTATGAAAGACCTATTAATAACTAGAAATAATTTTACCTTAGGTGGATACCGGCTCGCCTTTCCCACCACCCCGTATCGACCTCCTCCAATTCCCCAAACGACAACACACCGGCGACTGGCTGGTGATCTTCCGCGTCATAATGCCCATGTACATGGTGATGACTTTGTCCCAGTTCATCACATACTTGCTAATGTTCGTTGTGGGAGAGAAAGAGAAGAAAATTAGGGAAGGCATGAGGATTATGGGCTTGAAGGACTCGGTTTATTGGTAAGTTATTATTTGTCACTAGTAGAGTAATACTCATTCAGTGGTATGACGAGGAAAGACAATTTCTTCTCATGCCACTGGTGGAACAAGTTGGTGGCATCCCAAAGTGTTTATGTCTGGTTTAGCTTTGGACTCGTCAAGTTTTATTTTACTAGTTAGATTAAGTAAAAAAGTAAGTAAGAAAGATCCTTATAAAGTGAGCACCATAATAGGAAATCTCTCGGTTATAATACGATTGTATAGAGCTTATCTTTGATTTATTTTATTAAAGGAACATTTATAAATAGAGACACCTGAAATACTGTACCTAGAAATAACTTTGATGACACCTTTTAGTGATCTGTTATGTAAGGATTTTTTGAGTAAGGTTAGGTAAACTTCAGACTATTAACCTTTAGTTGAACTTTCTTTGTTCTATTGTTGAAGTAGTGTTTAATAAGCTCAATTTTGATATTGGAAGGTAATGTATCGGTTTTGTTAATATTAATTATTTCTTTTACTTGTTTCAGGGGTGCTTGGTTTCTCATTTACGCAGTTTTTGTTACAATACTATCCATAGTCAGTACCGTCCTACTCTTCACTCTAAAGGTAAAATCCCGTAAGCTTTTGCTCATCAATTACTTACTTATTCAACGGATTAATGAAAAGTTTCACCCGATTTGATTTGAAAAGCAGAAACTTGTATATACCTACTTTTAATCGAGAATAAGTTTTAACTATTACGAATATTATAGCTTACATTGGGTTTAGATAAAATTGTACCAGATAATTTCTGACTAACATAATAACATCTCTGATAAGTTTGTGATATTTGTATTTTATTGAAAAATAATCTTTGAAATTTTTTTATTTGCATCAAAATTGCTTTTTTTTCACAATTTTAATATTGTATTTGTTGTTTCGGACTGTTCCAGGTGTTTCAACATTCCTCTTACATCCTTATTTTCCTTCTGATGCTTCTATTCGGGTTTACCATCATCACATTCGCGTTTATGCTGACACCTTTCTTCGACCGCGCCAGAGTGAGTACAATCGAATGTAATTGAACTGATAGATTCATGATGATATGATGAGAACATGAATAAATAATGATGGTGCCATTATAACATATTAGTTAGCTTAATAACAATCCCCGTTACTTCTCTCATTAACGATTTCGTATTTGGCATTTGGCTATTATAAGTAAAAGTAGTAACTCGTAAAAGAGCATTGCCCAAGCATTGCCTTATTGTACCAGGGTTTGTAAAACAGGGTATTTTTTTTCTTCCTGGGATCAGCCCAGCGTGATGGTTATTCTTATCAACAGTTATTTGGGCCACTTCCAGCAACGAATAAGGAAAGTTTTTAAATCTATTGTTAAATCTATAAGACCTAGAAAGAAAGAAGACCTAAGAAATAGCGTGAAAACCTAAAAAACAAATATTCTTAAATCTAGTTAATAAGGTATGCTAATCAAGTTGAAGCCTCATTCAATTTCTATTTGACTTTAATAAATTGACAAAGATGAAATGATGACTGTATTCAACCGAATGAAGCCTTAATTTGAATAATGAATTTTGTGGTAAGTAGCCCTTATTATTTATTATTTTATTTATTGTATTTTTTATGCTTTATGTTATTCTAGACGGCTGGCATCCTGGGCAGCTTCGCCGTGAACCTGATGAGCGGGTTATACTTTATCCAGGTGTTTGTCTCCAATGCCGACTCGCTTGCCTTCTGGTTCGTCTCCCTCATCAGCTCCAGCTGCTACGCCCTCGCTATGGATAAGGTGATTAATAGAGCCAAAGCAAGATCCCAGATGTCACTTTTTTTCTGGTGAACAAAAGTTTAACATTGAATCGCTTAGATGCTCTAAGTTGAATTGTGTTAGTATGTAGGTAGGACCATGATTTTTGAGAGCCGACAAATTACTCCATCCCACCTGATGAAGTCCAGACGTGAAGATAGCTGGTACAGCAGTTCTACCTGCTACACCAGCCATCTTCACCTTGCCGGCCTGTACGTCGTTTCTTCACGCCTCCTTTAATGGATCCCAGGTTATAAGACGGAGGGAACACGTGAGCGGGCAGAGCATTCCATTTACGGATAGTGCGACAAAGAAATGAGTCACCAAATTTCTTTGTACGCGTTGGAATTGTTGCTAAAGTTAGAAGGTGACAACGTAGGCCAGCGCGCGTGGTCCTCTGAAGGAAAGGGAAGGTGGAATAAGAGAGAATAACTCCTCAGAACACTCGCCGTGGTACAGACGACAGAACGTGCTTAGTGACGCCACGTCACAGCAAATTGAAGAGGCTCAAGGTGTTTAGTCAACTCCTCATCGCCTATGATGTGGATCGCGTGCCGCTGTAACCTATCCAAAGCATCGAGCAAGTACTTGGCGGAGCCATCCCAGAGGTGCGAGCAATATTCCACGCAGGACCGCATGATCCGCAGGATCCTATTTCTACCCCTTGATTTGGCCAGACGGCCATTTGAGAGTCTAGTTATCAGATTAAAACACTTCTCACCTCACTTCAATCCAGAGTCTTATTCGGATTGAGATTTTTACAGCAATAAAGAAAAAGTATTTTAAACTAGTTTTAATTAAAGTCGCTTTTGGTATCTGTATGTCTGCTTCTCTATTCCTCCTCTCAACAAATTACGTAATTAATTTTAATGCGGTAAATACATAATTGATACTTTTCTCATATAAAGGTATAAAATGTATACAGTTTAAACATGAAACGTCGATTTTTTCTTGAGCTCGATAATCTTAATTTTTGTACTGTAGTAGGTACCGGAACCCTTCATTTCCAAGTTCAACTTGTACTGCAGCGGTTTTTTGTCAAGTTTGCCGTAAATTTACTAATTTGTGGTGGGTTTTGACGCAGGCTTTGGTGCTAGACATGGCGGGCGTTGGCGTGACATGGGACAATCTATGGAGCGGGCCGGGTGTTCCCTTCGGGGGCAGTCTCATCATGATGGCTGTCGACACCGTGCTGTACGCACTAGCTGCCTACTGGCTCGATGCCGTTATACCAAGTCAGTAATTGCATACTTATCATATACCTTACTGTTTAGTATTTGACATACTAAATCTGTTCTGTCATTCTCGCATCACCAAAATCACTACATTTGTTGTAGTAGATGTTATCAATTATTATACACACGTTTTTGTACACTTATATAAAGAGATTCTAAATTAATCAAAAATAATGTGCGAGATCACTTGTCGCGGTTCACAGACACAGACGGAAGAGAGCGAGAGAGGTGATACAAGAATGAGAGAACAGATTTATTATGTCAAATACTAAACACTTACCTTAAGCAGTGTTTCTCCTTTCTATCCTCTTCTTCACAGTTCTCGTTGCGATCCTCTTCTAACCTATTTCTTGAGATTCCCTGTCACTCTTCTGACTTCTTTTTCTACTCTTTTTCTGTGCACGCTGTGCGACTGTGGAATTCACTCAGTGAAGGTATCAGAAAGGCTCCTTCACTTAATTCCTTTAGCGAAAAACAGCTATTTCCTTTCTTTATTTATTTATTTTCATTTGGGAAACATACAGTATTACATTACACAAATCAATTAAGTAACACTTATTACTATTTCATAAACCAGTTAAGTTTCCACAGACTGAAACATTCATAAACTTACATAATTTACTTAAGATTACGTACAATATTTAGAATTGTGTGAATAAAAGAAAATAATTACTAAGTGTTAGGGTAAAACGACCTTATAGCATTCATTTCTAAATTGGTTGTAAGAAAGGCAAAATATATCCAATCCCCTGAAGTATTTATTATAGCTGTGACATGCTCTAGAAATTTGCAGCAAACTTGGTCCTGCTGAATTGTATTACAAACGTATTGTCAGACCTAGTTCTATTTGGACAACGGAAACCAATTCTCTGCAAAAGGAACGGCGAATCTACAAGGTCATTAATAAGTTTATCTTAAATTCATTTCATATCCTATTTCTTAGCTTCTCTTATATTTATGTAAGTATATCTCCTGTATCTACTTTTGCACCCTTCTATATGTTTCTATTATTATTCCTTTTCCACTATAGGTTGCTGGAACAGATTGCTGTTTAGCAATAAGGCACATTGTACACTCTTCTTTATTTTTATAAGTTTAAATCTTGTGTCCTTTGTTGAGTGCAATAAAGAATATTGTTATTAATTACAAAATGCGTGAATTTAAAAAAAATGGTTACAAAGTAAACTATACGACTGATACGATGATAAAATACACTAAACGCCGCTCTGAAAATCTAGTAGGCCATGATTTTCCATAGCGCGCAACAAAATGCGAAAAAACTAATTTCAGAACAGGGACAGTCCGCTTTCGTATTGGAATTGCAGATTGTCAATATTTATAATTATGGATTTTCAAATCCAAATAAATCCGTGGTTTTTCTGATACTAAAATACTTAAAATTATACTATTACTTATTGTATAGTAATATATGATTTGAGGCACGATGAGGCGACACCTCGAAACCTGGTGTACACACTACTCTACCATGTTGTGCATCAAAATGTAGAAAGAATTAAGCATCATATTAAGTTATTCAAATATGTATTTATGTATTTACTTCTCAGGTGAATACGGCATCAAGCAGAAGCCTTGGTTCTGTTTACTACCATCGTTCTGGCTGGGCAGCAGGCGGGGAAGAGTTTCGGCAGTACATCTACATTCCAACGGCGATGCTGCACATAACAAGGATATCGAGCCAGTACCTAGGTAACTTGACAGTCATTTTAGTCCAATTTTTTAATCGGAAGCAAAGATCTTTTCGATTAGTCCGTTTGATGATGATGATGAAGTGTGAGCTCTAAATGAAATCTAATTGTAACACCAATGCAAAACAGAAGAGACTTTTATGTTAATTAAAAGGGTAGGAAATAAGCACATCCTCTCAACAGTCCACGGCAACTATAGCTGCCGGTCGCAGAAAAACCTCAACAGTCCGCGGCAGCTATAGCTGCCAATATGAAATTTCCGCACCGCTCGCTGTTTTGTTTTTTAAATTTCGCCTAAAAATACCTTTGCCTTGCTCATAGATACTCTCTTTGGATACATTATTTAATCTATGACCTCGTAGTAATGAGAGACCGGCTTAATCCGATTTGGAAAGAAAAAATTAAACATTTGTCTTTTTTCTGTGGCGTTTCGCTGGAATTAATGTGAATTAAGACCCGCCAACTAGTAAGCAGCCACCATAGCCTATAGACGCTTGCGATACCAAAAATATCACTTGCGCCCCCTTGCCTACCCTGACCCGATCCCTTAACCCGAGAAACCCTGGAACCTTACTCACTGACAGAAACACAACTCCACCAAAAGTATTTGTAGGGTGGAGGTTACTACCCCAGACGGAAACCCTAAAACGACCGGGAAATCCCCTATGCTCTTTTTTTATTACGAGGCAAAACCTCTATTTACAGACGTTGGCGTCCTTATGGGGCAAAAAACCCTGCGAATACCCTCTACGCTTTTAAGTGCGGAACCGCGAGATCCCCGTTGAGGGACTTCACCGCGTCTAAATCCACTATGCCCTAACTCTCTTAGTTTGGATAAGAAGATTGAGTTTAAAGGACTTTATTTCCTACAGAGAACTCCAAGACAAAGAGGCGATCCGCATCGTTGGTCTCCAGAAGAGTTTCCGTCATTGTCGAAGGCCGGAGATCAAGGCCATCGACGGCATCGACCTCAGTATTTACGAGGGCCAGATCACCGCCGTTCTGGGCCACAACGGTGCTGGGAAGTCCACGCTCTTCAATATATTAACTGGACTGACGGCACCCACTGCTGGAACTGCTTACGTCTATGGACTGGATGTTAGGTAAAATTTTAGTTTAATAAGAACATATTATTATCTACTTTATAATCAACGTCCACTCTCTTGAGTTTCAAAAAGGTTAACTTATCAATTCAAAAAATTAAAATAAATAAAAAATAAAAAGTAAGCTTGTTATATTCATTGCTTAACTTGATAATCAAAAAATATCGTTTCGTCCCTCCAAACTTCCCTTTTCATGTATCGTACACAAGTCTTTAAATATTAACTCATTATCACACACATTATCACATTGGAAAATACCCAAATTCCCCTGACTATTAGAAATGTTCGCGGAAACATTGGTAACTTAGTTGGAGAGGAGAGTTCCTGGCGAATTGTGAAATTTCTGATATTCTCTGATCAGTAATACGCCGCTTTCTAATAATTCAGGACTCTCCGCAAATCTATATTGCATGCAGAGAACTAGCAGTTCTCTGAATGCCACCGATTAAAACATTTCTATAATCTTCAGGGATCCCAACGATATGCACGAAATACGTCAGATGATTGGCGTGTGCCCTCAACAGGATGTGCTGTTCGACCTTCTTTCTGTTAAGGAGCACCTGCAATTCTTCTCCGCAGTCAAGGTTAGCATGTTTTATAGAATTAAATACAAAATCATTACTTCAACTTCTGTTTTAGACGAAACAACCTAAAGAGAGACTTGAAGACCTAAAGATTTGCCCACAATATACTGGCCCGGTTAAAAACTTGAAGAGCAAATTAATGTTACGATGTGACGACAAGTCTATACTTATTAATCACGAAAATAACAAACTAAATTAGGCGTCTGAGATTTGGCTTAAGATTAGGTTACACTTAAGACTTATACTGATGCTCCATATTTTTGATGCTATTAAGCTAGCCATGGCGTCAGTCAAAATTCTGATATTCTTTTTCTTTTTGAGAAATATTGTGACTGCCACAAATTCTGCTATTCTCCGAAATGACGTCTTAAATTATTAAAACATTCTTTTTTGCAATTCAGGGTATTCCCCGTAAACGTCGCCCAGATGAGATTCACAAGGCGTTAGCTGAGGTTGGTCTGCTGGAACAAGCGGGGGTCTTCTCGAAACATCTCTCCGGAGGTCAGAAGAGGAAACTCAGCATAGCCATCGCTTTCATCGGGGATCCTAAGGTGACCTTCTTAACTTGAGTCATAAATATTCATCGTTGATATAGAGAGATACCACACAAGGTAATGCAACACTTTGGAGTGACAGACTTAAAATGAAATTACCTATTATAAAGTAACAGTTAATGCTGGAAAAGGATTTCTTTGCCCAGACAGCACTTCTCTAATAAGCTCCCTAAACTAAATTGTTTTAAGAGCATCAGCGATTGTGTGATAAAGAAACGCCCAACTAAATCTAGCGGCTTAGTGCCTAAAATATTTATATAATTTTGTTCTAAATACCCATAATATATTAATTTTTATTATGCCCGGTTCACATGATTCCAGTCCAGTGCTGGACTGGATTATATCTTTCGCAGTATTCCAGTCTCTTAAAAACTATCGAACTCGTAAGATTACATAATGATAACAAAGTAGCAGTTTGAAAATTTCCAGTCGGTGGGAGTCTATACTATTCCAGTGGTACTGGAATGGGTGAGCTAGAATGAAAAAAGTTAATCCGTTAATCGAGTCACTGGACTGGATTATTCAGTCGTTTCACATTATTCCAGACAATTCCAGCGTCAGATGCAACCTTTGGAATGGAATGCTGCTGGAATGATATGAAACGGCCATTGTTGCTTGATTTTAATCTAAAAATTTTGGGTTCGGGCTTACGGCTCTTAGGAATATAATTTTTTCTACCTTCTTTTGTGTGTTCTCCAGATCATAATCCTGGACGAGCCCACTGCTGGCGTAGATCCAGTGTCCAGAAGACAGACGTGGAGAATCCTGCAGCGCGCTAAGAGGGGGAAGGTGCTGCTGCTCACCACACACTTCATGGATGAAGCTGATATCCTGGGCGATAGGAAGGCGGTCATCAGTAAGGGCAGGGTGAGTATAGGTGGTTAGCGAGTTTGGTCTACGATCGTGGAAGTTAAACAACTTTCGCAATGACTGGTCGTTGGATGGGTGACCAAAAACTTAAGACAGCACGTTAGTAGACTGATGATGATGAGTATATTCATGAACTGCTGGTGCAGACCTGGAAGGTCCTGCTCCTCACCACACACTTCATGGATGAATCCGATATCCTGGGCGATAGGAAGCCAGTCATCAGTAGGAAAAGGGTGAGTATATTCCTGATATTCTTGCCATGTGCTGCAGTAGATCCAGAAGATAGACATGCAGAATCCTGCAGCGCACCAAGAGGGCGAAGATGCTGCTGCTCACTTCACATTTCATGGATGAAACCGATATCCTGGGCGATAGAAAGGCGGTCATCAGTAAGGGACGGGAGAGTACATACTTAAGAAACTTTCGCATTGGCCGCTCATTAGATGGGTGACCATAAATTGGGGTCGCTTATATCTCGAGCTGCTCCGTGCTTCGATAGGCATCTGCAATTGTTAGCATCCACAAATCCACATTCATGGCATGGCCCAAATCTCCCTAATCCATCCATAGAGAAGCCCTGTGCCTCAGCAATGTCGACATTAATGGGTTGATGATGATGAGTATATTCTTGCATTTTCGTGGCGGATCCTGTCATGGATAAAGCCGATATCCTGGGCGATAGGAAGGCGGTCATCAGTAAGTGAGGGTGACTATATTCCTTAACTGCTGGAGAAGACCTGGTGCCCAGAAGACGACAGGAAGGCAGTCATCAGTAATGTGTAGAGGTAAAAAGGTGAGTATTTTCTAGTAGACTGGATATTTTAATAAAAAGAAAACTTTTGTGACTAACTTCCGTTTTAAAGCTTACACTACATTGTTATTATAGCTGGGTCCAAAAGTTACAGCTTAGGTCGAAACTTACTAAACCTTATATTATATTGTATCAAATTATAATTACCTATATTATAGTCCTATGGTGTAACTAGTTCACCAGAAATAACGATTATTAATATGATAAGGTTACATTATATTGTTACAGGTACGTTGTGCTGGTACCTCGCTGTTCTTAAAAAACAAATTCGGCATCGGCTATCATCTGACATTGGTTTTGGACGGTAAGTAGATGAAAGAAAACATTAAATATTAAAGACCGAGTTTTTATCATTAAAACCATCAATATTATGTCGAAGTTAGTAACTAGGTACATAAGTAGTGTACCACGTTGGGCGCCAAGAAATTTCATAGTACTTTAGTATGAACAAAATAGCTTTGAAATTGTTTTTAATAACAATGAAAAATGTAATTGGGTATGCTAAAGATGAATGAAAATGAAAATTACTCTTTTAAAATTTTTGTAACAAATGGCGGACTTAATGCCACATGACATTCTCTACCAGTCAACCATCGGGCTAAGCAGAGACATTATTCGGTAAAGTAAATTAAAGCATTATAGTAAAAGAGAAAGAATAAAATGATGTGGTGTCGTGGGACACCAGGTAGGAACGAAGTTCCTTTGGCTAATGTAGAATCGACACAAATTATTAACGAAGTAATGAGTATTCGAAATACCAGGATCGCATAAGCTCACACTAGGTATACATTATCAGTCCTACGGAATTCGGCCGCGGTGCGCCCGTGTCGCAACCAGCTGCGTAGCCTAGGTGAATGAGCGGACGTTCGAACTTCGAAGTGTATTCGATTTTTAAATAGGTTTTCGAAAAAGTTTCTAACAAAATAAAAATTCCACGCATGGACACACCATCATATCATCATAATCATAGCACATCATACACGGTACGATTCATACTATTATTACAACGCCTTTAAGATTATGTTGTCCTGGTACTAAGCCTTATAAATATAATCGATAATCCACTACATTATTCGCTGTGAGCTGGAAACCTGCCTGGTCGTCTCCCTCGCTCTAGAAAGACCTCACAACCACCACCATATGATTTTGATATCCTGGTACTAAACCTGCAAGTATAGACTACTGAATAGCGAACATCGTACTCCGTCACCTACAACTTACTCTTGTACCACCTTTATGGTTATGATATCCTGGTACTTAATATTCAAGTCTCATTTAACGGTTTTATTCCACGCATTTTTTCTTACGGTTTTACTATCACATTTTTTTCAGTTCGGCCGCGCAGCAAAATCCCTATCCTCCAAGCCTGCCATAAGGAACTTTCGTTCCAAAAACAAAATTAAATTGATAAAACTACATGTTACTTAATATAATAATTATAATGTAACATCTATAAATATACCTAAATAACTACATATATATAAACATATTTATAATACGATAAATACATATTTAACATTTTTTTTCCAACACACACCAATTAGCTTAGCCTAGTCCCAAAGTAAGCACTGTAAGGCTTGTGTAATGGGATACTAGGGTACCGGATAGAATACATATACTGTACATATATTAGCAATTTTATATAGAAATACATATAAAACATCCATGACTGGAGTACAAATGCTCGTATTCATCACACAAACATCTACCCCCACCGGGATTCGAACCCGGGACCTCTCGAGTCGGCGACACCATGAAACCCGGCGTCCAAACCACTCGGCCACGGAGGTCGTCAATTTATATATACGATAAATACCTACACATATACACTAATAAATACCACTATACTTACTTACGAATACTATAATAAAACAGAAAAAAAAACTATTACAAATATTATTAATAATAGTCGGACTGACCAGAAGTTAGTTCATAATATGGCTTATCTGTGTGGTATGGTTTGCAGGCGCATGTCGCGAGCACCAAATTACTCGTCTCGTACGCGGTCACGTACCTCGTGCAGAAAAAGCTCGGCGACACGGACGCGAATTGTCCTACATATTGCCACACTACGCGGTGCATCTGTTCCCGCCGCTGTTCCTCGCCATCGAGCACGAGATCAGAGACAAGACCAACAGGCTGGGTGTGTATATGCATTTACTTAACTTATATTTTATTATTTCTAACAAATAAATAAATATACAGTCGAAACCGGATATAACGACATTGAAGGGACCATATAATTTCGGACGTTATGCCCGATAGTTGTTAAAAGCAATATGCACAAGTAACGGATATATAAGAATAATATGCACGAGTGGGGGATATAAGCAAGGGAAAGCAGTGCGCACGCACATTTTCTTTCTCTCTTTCTCTTATAGCTAGCGAATGAAATATGTATGTACATACATGTATATATTGTAGCCCTTCGAAAGGCCACCCTCATATCATGCAAACCACGGCAGATCATTATCTTTTCCGTTCTTAGAAACGTTACATGAACCCTCTAGTAGCTTATATTCAAAAGACTGACGATTTGGGCGCGACCAAAAGTCCGTTCGTTGAAATTTTGTTTTTGCTGCCCTTAACGTTCGGCCCTACATAGAGAGCTCAGGTATGGTGGGAGTACTTAACTAGGTGTAAGGTTGATCCCCATATGTTATTCTGCCGCGCTCGAGTAAATTCAAAAATCCCCGCTTGGGCTCACCTACTATAAGGAAAGGCTTTGGAAAAACTAACTTAAGCATATTTTCAGGTATAACAAGCTACGGCGTGTCCATGACGACTCTAGAGGAGGTGTTCCTAAGCTTAGAGGGAGAGAACGCAGAGGAGACAGAGACAGTAGAAGGATTGTCCTCTGTCAAACTAGTGAGGGCCAGAGCTCTGTCTAGGAGTTTATCGCTGCAGAGCAAGACTCTTAGTTACCAGGTATATACTTTCAATGACCTTGACTCTGACAGATCATCATCATCTCCATCATATAAAAAAATACTTGTATTCATGATTTCACACAATAATTTTACATTTTATACTTTCCGGAGTTGATAAAGTACTACATATCTTGTTTTCCACCAGTTCAGCAAGAAACTTGGTATAAGAGTAGTTATTTTGTGACAAATATCAAGATTTAACCGAAATGGTTGTGTCATAGTAAAAAGAGTTTCTTTCCTTTTATAAGGTATTTCATATGTTCTCATGCACACCAATAATTTAATCTTGCGATCACGGAGCATGTAAAGGGTCATAGTCCTCTTTCCCAGTGGGCACTTTGGGCAGGTGCCCAGGGCCCCGCGATGGATAGGGGCTTCCCTCAGATCAAATACAAAGCCCCTGTCAGATCACCAAACGATAACCAATATTTATTACCAAAAAACTTTTATAATTCGATGAAATCGAACCTAAATTACTGACCACAATACCAACTTTACAAATTACTAGCTTACGAGCTTTTACGTAATTATGCGAAGCTATTCTACTCTCGCTCAAAAATTAAGCTTTCCGACTTCAGCATGCTTAGATAAATTTAAATATACACATAATGGTGTACTAAGCACATACACATTTTAAAGAAAAATCGTCAGTAGTACACTCATCAGTATGACTCGCTTCATTTCAAGTCATAATTCACATGAAAGTCATAGGGGCCTCATTAACCTAATATGCCCAGGGCCTCCAAGAGGTTAAAGACGGCCCTGAAAGGGTCCGAAACATGAATAATAATGTAAAACTCTAATAAGTCGCGCTTTATACCCGTTCCAAAAGTGTTTTAAAAGATTCTTTGACTGTGCATATTATTTCACAGGAGCTAAACGACAAGGAAATGTGTTTAATGTTTTTTTGAAGTGAAACTGCCTTGCGCGCGATTACGGTAACTTTTCAAGGCGGCGCGGCGGCGTCACGATTTGAGCGCCAGGTTTTAGTGCGACGATTTTAAATTTTAAAGGACGAATAGATGTAAACAACTAGAGAAATAGTGAATAAGCACGCTATATACTTATTTTAATGTCCCTCTTTGTACGTATATATCAAGGCCGTTAGACCAAACCATACCGCGATTTAGATGTATGAACAGCGCCATTTGATATATGTAGTACATTATGATATAAGTGCGGTAAGTTGAGAATTACAGCTGAAGCGATATTGTTAGGCCGAGCCATAGGTGAGGGCTATAAGAAGGCAAAGGCTGTAATTATCAAACCGCAAGTATGTCATACGACGTTTTATAACAATTTTTATAACAAAGAAATAATAGTACTACCTACGTACGTACTTTATGAAAATGAATTTGCACCTTTGTATGGTTTCCATAAGATGAAATTTTGATACGCTTGACTGTAAGTATCTATCTGTAGATTTTTCGGGCATGAGGCTTAGCGTAGCGTTTTTCGATTTCTGGGGGTGTCAAATCAATAAATTCGTTACTCATTGACAATATTTTCAAGTAAAAATAATACAGCGAAAAGAAAAAGAAATAACTTTTTCCCAGATTAGCGATGCGCGCGTATCAACACTTTTTTAGGCTTTTTAAATTATGATATTGAAATTGTTGCAATAAGAGACGTTTTACGAGCAAATGTGTTATAAAAAAACTTACACACCATGTACGTATATGTATGTACCTATTCTAAAGCAATATCAGATTACTTCTATTTTTATAATTATTATTATGAAAGTTCGATTCACTTCTGACATGCGTACTCTGTACACACTCGCTGTTTTATTACTGTCTATGTTGTTTTGCAGGAGCTAAATGACAAGGAAACTCAAAAGGCTACGTCTCTGCCCACTCCTCCCGCCTCACACGCATTACATTCCACTACACATGGCGTTGAACACGTTAAAGTGGCTGTAAGTATTGAATATGACCATATATATGTATAATAAATTAATTGTAGCCCAAATGTTAAAATAGTCAGGCTTATCTACACCAAAGTTCTTAAACCAATTTAAAAAACAATTATGCTGCGGCAAAGTTATTTCAGCTATAGAGAAGACCTGTCTGTGTATGTAGCAGAGGAGATATAATTGACTGATGATATATTCAAAGTTTATATACAGGGTTAATTTTAAAACACCAACCAACCTCTTAGGGGGTGATTCTACCCATTAACAGGAACAACTTTTATTATGGGACCAACTCTGAAATCGCGAGAATAAAATCAGCTGTTTCATACATTTCGGTCGATTAGCTGATGCACTCGTATGAAACAGCAGATTTTTTTTTCGCCGTTTTAGCGTTGATCCCTTTATAAAAGTTGTTCTTGTTGATGGGTAGAATCACCTCCTAAGAGGCTTTTGGTGTTTTAAAATTAACCCTATATATTTTTTAATATACTCAATCAATATAAAATTGCTCTTATTTTCGTATGCAAAGGATTAATAATATTTAGATATAACTAAAAAGGATTCTCAACCTTCAGGTGACTCCAGAAGCTCCTGTCTCCGTCGACGCATTAGGGGAGATAGTGAAGACGAACCCATCTTGTTGGAGAACATTCTGTGCACTAGTTTACATTCGTACAGTGCGCATGATTCGAGATCCGTACAAGCTCTATGTGATGATCTTCATGCCTATCAGTGAGTCTTTAATATTATGCACAATGGGCAGTACCTTGGTAAATTGTGTTTTTATGCAAATAAATAAAATATATATTTGAATTAGAACGATGGAATTAATTTACTTTGTACCCACGTCGAAAGAGTAGCAAGCATCATGTCTTTTATATAAAAAAATATTGGTACAAAATAAGTAATTTTCTCTGTTATTGATTGCGGCAGGATCTGTAAAAAATAATTGAGTTAATTATCAGAACTATAAAATCATGTTTAAGTATGTAATGGTGAGTACAGCTTTTAATTTTCAGTTTCCTGCGCCCTGGGTCTCTACATGAAATCTCGACAGATAGTGTTTTTTCGAATGCAACCCCTCAGTCTGGAACCAAACGCTTATTCCAATAAGACGCCCATTGCCGTGTTCAGTGAACAAAATAATTATAAAGAGATCACTGATCTAAAGGAGTCATTGGAAATGCTAGGGGCCCATCCGATTGTAGACTTTGACGGTAATTTCTCCAGTCTTCTTAGTATGGAAAATTTGGGAGCGTTCAGTCTGAGAGATAGTCTTATACCTTATGGGAAGATTATGGCCTATTATAATAGTACATACACTCATAGTCTGCCTATAATCATCAATTTATTGGACAATAGTATATATAGGTAAGTTTTTAGGTGACATTATAAGCTTTAAAACTATAATATAATTTTGTATAGGCTCAGCCAAGTCAAAAACATTATAACAGTTTTAATTATTACAATGGTGCCGATTTTGCCATGATTCTCTAAACTAAAAACTAAATTTAACATCAGTCTCTCTTCCTCATTCTGTATGAAGAATGACAGGGATACACTCTTGTCGTAGTATAGAAAGTTTAGGTTTAGAGAATTATGCCAAAATCGACACCTATATCAGCAAATTCATAGTGTATTAAATTGCTAATGTAATATTTCTAATATTACTAAGTAAGTAATGTTTTGTGATGTTTTTCAAAACAGGGTATTAATGTCGGCGTCTGGTATGACAGAAAGTTTTAAACCTATAGAGGTGCTGGCCCATCCATTTCAACAGACAGAGCAACAAGAGGAATTCAATGTAGGCAATGTGGTGTGTGCCATATTCATGGGCATGATCTTTGCTCTCGTACCAGTCACATTAGCTGTTGATATAGTCTACGATAGAGAAGTAAGCGTTACTATTAGTTATATTTTTATAAGCATTTAACTGATAGATATTTAAATCAAAAGAACATTTTATTAGAAAAAAATCCACTTACTTGTAAAGTTATTCATTAGACATTGTGGGTTACCTGCAATGCAAGGAGATGGCGTTGCCTTGCAGCCTAAGAAATATTAGAGAAAATACGACACGGACAATTAGGGCCGCGGTAGCACAATGGTCAGTGCATCCGCCCGGATAGCGGAAGGTGCGGGTTCAAGCCGCGCCAACTGCCTGCTCCGCTTGGAATTTCTGAAAATACATTCTTTTAGAGTTACTATTAATAACCATTTCTAGTTACAAATCTCAAATGAGTTCAAAGTTACGCATCTTTTTGTTTTACAATTAGATTAAGAAGTATTTTTAATATTGCAAACAACGAATATGTCATCGACAAACAAAATTTATGAATATTAAATTGCGGCTTTTTAATACAACATGGAATATTAGCAAAATGCCTATTTTTGTCCATTTGATCCGTTAAAGGCAGGTTAAAAACAATCTATATGCTTGAATTTATCATAATTATGGTAAATATTAAAACAAAGTTATTTGAATATAGTTGAAAATGAAAGTAACCGTTATTTTTCTCCTCACAGATAAAAGCCAAGAACCAACTGCGAGTTAACGGCTTGTCAATGAGCATGTATTTCTTGACGTACTTCACAATACTTATCTTCATTATGATCATCACCAGTATTGGGGTTCTGGTCCTTGTAAGTACGGATTTAGTTTATCACAGATCAATCTTTGATTATATAGACTTATTAGTAGCTGAAAGTTTTTGATCAGTGGGCCTATTCGCTAACGGTTTTTAAGGTAGATGTGATATTTAATCTATTTACTGATCCACTACTGCTAAATTATAACGCCACTAAGATACTTGTCATGAAAAGCATCGATGAATATGAAACTTTCTCTTTAGTTACACACTGTAAATGTCAAAACAGTTATTGATTAGGCCAACTAAAAGTTTGAAAAATTTACAAAGAAACCAATACTTGTTAACTAAATTATTTTATTATGAAATTTTAGTAATGTTTACTTTTATTTCAGGTGATCCTTAACGACATACCGAGTTTGACGAACGGTTCAGCTATCACGATGCTCTCGTTTTTGTTGTTATTGTACAGTCCGTCGGCCATCTTGTTTAATACATGCCTCTCGTACGTATTCGACAAGATGGATTCTGCGCAGAGCATCATGCCTAATATAACAACCTGGGTCGGTGTAATACCTTTTATATTAGTTGCTGTTCTGGATACTTTTAAGTGGGGTAAGGGATTTAACATATTCTCTGATATTTTTGTCAAAACAATTAAATTATTAATCGTTTTGCTAATTTTTTGGTCTGTTTTCAGGTAGTGATATCGCGTTCTATTTACATTTAGTATTCAGTTTTCTGGATGTTATGTACATACCTTATGCCATCATCTACTATGTTGATAGGTAAGTAAGAGGTGTTATTAGGGGTTAGTTATATGAGGGATCTTGTTTTGTAGCTATAGTTTCTTAAGTATCAAATTTTTGCCTTTTGTCTATTAAAATATCGTCTTAGGGTACAAAAAATCAGACAACTGCCCAAAGCAGCAGCGTAATTTTGAAACTAGATGGGTTTTTGGGGATTTTTAAATATTTTTGGGACTGATGCTTACTTATTTCATCGATTGAGGAGAGTGTACGATAGGCTGCCGATAAACTGCCGAGTGCAAGCTTGCAACAGCTTAAACTGATTTAACCTGTTAAATATTGTTCACCTAATTTTCGGTTTATTGTATTTAATCAAGAGTATATACATTTTCGCATGCAACCGCGATTGAAACAATTGCAGCGCCATCTATCGAACAATAAAGTACCCTACCTTGGTAAGAATAAAAACTCGGTGCTAAGGTCGATAGTGTGACGTTATCTAACTTTGATTTATAGAACTGTAATTTAAGACAGATATTGAATTTGACGGCGGCAATTTACACGGGAAGCATAGGACGCATGAGTTAAGCGCGTACTTTACGGTGGAAGCGTGGAAACTTTTTTTAGGTTTCCTTTATCTTTAATTCACCCATTAGTGACTTATGGCCATGCTTAGAATACATTTGCGAACCGATGGCGCAGTGACATTCACAAGAGCTCATAAAAGCCTAAACTAAACAAACCTTATATAATAAACCTTATTGATATATTGTTTTGAACTTTCATGGTCACTAACATTATATTTATTAACGGGATTGTTACCATGTACCTTGTTTTTTATGAGTCTCCGATATTTCGGCATTGTTGCAAGCGCCATGATAATGGAGTAACTAAAGTGATTGCGGGTAGATGTTATTGGCAGACATATCGGTCTACCCTCTGACGTCGTCTTTTACTGCGCACAATACCCCTACTACTGACCACAGTCTCACTATTCACTCGCACCTGTTCCCGACACACAATAGGTACTCACAGTATCGGATCGCGGAACATCTACCAGTACCAATAAGTAGTATTGGTACCAGTACCAATTTCTCCAGTTACTCCGTGATCATGGCGCTTGCAACAGTGCCGAAATATCGGAGACTAGTAAAAAACAAGGTTCATGGTAACAATTCCGTTAATAGCTATAATCCTTATTGAATTTCTATTTCGTCGGTTGGGCAGAGTGTACCTGACGTGTAATCTACGCGGGTTGTGTACAACGCCTGCGTTGAGCGCGTACTTCACGGCGGAAGTGTGGGCGTTGATCGCCGCCATGTTGTTCCACGTGCCGCTGTGTGGTGCCGCGTTACTCGCTGCCGACAGACTCAAGTCCGGCGGGCGGCTGTGTCCGGTAAGTAGAATATATAGTTGTAAGAATACCGCGGAGAAAATTTGCTTCATGGGAATAGCTATCCAGCATGAACGGCAAAATAAAAACATAAATGAATTTTGTATTTCAAATTATTTGGATTTAAACTGGACCTCCTCGAGCAAGATCTGGTTTATTAGCACCCCATGATTTATTTAACCGCAAATTAGGTAGCAGCAATTATAAAAAAAATTATAATTTAAACATTGAAAATAAGTATCATCAGTTGGTACATCTGTCAGCTGTTTGTTCACCAGACGTTCTTATTTGTAATGGTTGCTATCACTTTTAGTCAATAATATTTTAATAATATATTTTTATTTTTTGCTCATAACTTGCAACAATAACGAACATACTAACAGCACTCAGACATTTGAAATATATTATACATTATTTTATTTATTTACAATAGATAAATCAATTTTACATGAACAGTAAAAAACTGAATGACATACCTACAGTGAGCTTTTGGCGTAATTTTTAATTTAGTAATTTTAACACTATTTTAGGCGGTTTTTTTTTTTTTTTTTTTTTTTTTTTAGTTTATTAAGGTCAACAAACAGTTTTACAATAAATCTTATTTAAAATATAATAACACCAAGTTTTTATAAATGCAAAACCAACACCGTTAACCACAAGTTACTTTCAATATATGTTGAGAGTTACTACGTGAGAAAAATTCTTACATAAAAAAAAAATACATATATATTTAACAATACAATTTTTCGCTTATAAGCCTTCTATATTGATATTTTTTTATAGCAAAGATGTCTATATCATGTAAAGTGCTATTATATAAATTCATAACACGCTGCAGAGGAGATCGCTTGCCTGCATTGGTACGACATAAAGATGTTGCAAATAGTGGATGTTTTCGCAAGGATCTCATCTGCGTTCGCCTAGGTATTATATAGCCAATTTTATTAACTAGTTCAGTGCAGTCAAACCCGCCGTGACATATATCATATAAAACTATGGCTTCTAGTTGTTGTCGCCTCGATTTTAGGTCTGTTAGTTTATATTGTTTCAGAAGCTGTTGATATGACAAACGAGGTTGACCGCATCTGTACTGCATGCTTTTCATGAATTTTTTCTGCACCATCTCGATATTTGCTACATATTTATTATAATAAGGGTTCCAAATACTCACTGCATGTTCTAATTGAGATCTAACTAATGTTTTAAATAAATATAGATAGGAAGATATATTTTTAAATTGCTTACATGATCGCATAACAAAACCATACATTTTAAATGCCTTGTTGACAATAGTCTCAATATGTATGTCAAGATTTAATTTAGAGTCCAGTATCACACCGAGATCTTTAATTATGGTTACCTTTTCCAAGTCGCACCCACATAATCTATATGTAAAATTGCTTAAGATTTTTTTTTTAGTAAAGGAAATAGATTTGCATTTATTTAAACTTAGACTAAGTTTGTTATAATCGCAATATCTAGTAAACCTGTCCAAGTCCTGCTGCAATTTTAAGTGATCGTCGTGGTTATGTATTGCATGATATATCTTTAGGTCGTCAGCATAGAGTAAGAATTTGCAAAATTTAAAACATGAATCGATATCGTTTAAAAATAATATAAAGAGAAGGGGACCTAAAATAGATCCTTGCGGCACCCCAGAGCCAACTGATATAACATCCGACTCGAAACCGTTGATAACCACTTTTTGTGTGCGATTGGAAATATAAGATTTAAACCAACGCCATAAGTTACCCCTTATGCCATTGTATGCTATTTTCTCCAGGAGTATTTGATGGTCAACCCTGTCGAACGCTTTTCGAAAGTCTGTGTACACGCAGTCAGTTTGTGTGTTAGAATCTAAGTTTTCAAATAATGTTGTTGTATAAATTAATAAATTAGTAATTGTTGATCGCTGTTGTACAAAACCATGTTGTTCCTTTATTATGCATCTATGTAGGCATGGATAAAGTGCATCATGCACCAGTCTCTCGAAAAGCTTCGACAGAACTGGCAAAATAGAAATTGGACGATAGTTTTCTATATTATGTTTATTCCCCATTTTATGTACCGGTACTATTCTTGCAGTTTTCCAAACACTAGGAAAATAGCCCTTTTGTAGGCACTCATTAAATAGGTAGCATATAGGCTTATGTATGGATTCTACAGTCGATTTAAAAAAGATCGGTGGTATGTTATCAAGACCTGATCCTTTGGATATATCTAAATTTTTCAATGCATTTATTACACTCATAGTTGTAATGGAGATATCACTGATAATAAATTCTGAACTGCTATTCATTTGTGAGTCACAGTCATTAATGTCAAAACTATCTGTTACCGTGGAAGATCCAAAGACAGTTTGAAAATAGTTTGAGAACAAATCACACGCATGCTTCGGGTCATTTGCAACTTCACTACCATAATATACATTTGCAGGAATGTCGTCTGCATCCCTGCGACTAGAGACATATTTCCAGAAATACTTTAAGTTATTTTTTAAACTACTTTCTACATTTTGTAAATAATTATTATAACAGTTCAATGACTCTTTTTTATAGCGTTTGCGGTACATGGAATATACTTTATAGTCCGATATATTATTATATTTTTTCCAACTAATCCAAGCCTTGTTTTTGTTTTTGAATATATGTATTAGTGACGTACTGAACCAGATTGGATATTTAATTGGTTTTGTTAATCGAGTAGGTATGCATCTACGTATAATACTATATATTGTTTCGTAGAAAAATTGTACAGAATTTTCAACCGTTTGGTTATTAAAAACACTGACCCAGTCGATACTAGAGATTTCCTTATTAATTTCATCATAATCTGCACTTTGAAAACATATACGAGATTGTGTTTTTCTAGGCATTTGTTTTATTAATTCACGTGTAAACATTTTAGCGCAGAAAGGTAAATGATGTTCGTCAACCGGGACCAATGGGGCGGGCGCAGGTGATATAATAATCTTCGATTGATTACTAATAAATAAGTCCAATATCTTACCGTTATTATTTCTTATACAGTTGAATTGGACACAGTTTAATGATGACATAAAATTTTCCAAATACTTACCATTGACGCAGGCTCTTAAATCGTTACGGATTTCCATTACATTATTGCTACCATTATTAGAAGGAATCCAGTCTAGTGATGGTAAGTTAAAGTCGCCAATCAAACATATGTATGGGTGTTTCAGAGCTAAAATAAAATGTTGTAAGTAGTCCAAGAATGATACATATATACTTAAGCTCTGTTGTGGTGGAATGTACACTGCGCTAAGAATGTAACACTCTTTACCTATACGGATTTCAAAGAGCAAATAATCTACGATAGGATCGGGGAGTGCGGGCATGTGGTGGGACGCGCGGGCCGCACACGCAGCGGACAGCGGGGATACAACGGCACTGAGTGAGCGAAGCACTGCAATCAGTACGCCACCGCCGTCCCGCCGGCCGGTGCTTACACGATTCCTATCACAGCGATAAACAACATACCGCGAATCAATGAACTCGTTATTAAGTATGTCAGCGTGAAGCCAAGTCTCCGTTAATACCAAAATATCATAGGAGTGTTGTAGTATGTTCATGTACAATGTATGAAGTTTTGTTCTCAAGCCACGACAATTTTGATAGTAAATTAAAATATCATTATAGCCTGCCATTATTTAGATACACATATACCTCTAAGTGATAATAATTTCAAGTAATAGATATATTGATAGTGGGTAAATAAGTTATTATGCGAGTTATTAAGGTAATTACAATGAGACAACAAAATAGGGATTAGTTTTAATGACACACATAACAATGCATTTATTAGCGAATGTATATTCAAAAAATTGTTATGGTGTAAGTAAATATTAATCGGTAAATACCAATTATTGATATTTGGTATTGAAGTACACAGAATACATACATATGGATAGACGTTTATAATTGTTAGTGTTTTATCACAGTATAAAATTGAGATGACAAGTGTTTTGCAGTCATAATTTATAATTAAAACTAAGACAAAATGTGCATATTTTAAGAAATACAGAATTACCCTGTTTTTGTGTTCTAGCAAACGATCGAGACAGTGCATAGACAAAAGTGACCTAATACAATTAAAATTAAAATTAACATATTTACAACAACTTACAAGAAAAATATGGTTAACACTATTTTGAGAAAATAGTTGCGGGCAGTTTAAAGATACAATGTTTTTATGCTTTAAATACACAGCAATTGTAATTATATTAGTTTGTTTTCTAATGTTTTTCTTAGCTAGAAAGTTGGTTGGAATTATGTATATATAATAATAGCGCGTGGGGACACTTTTTTTATTTATTTTATAAGCTTTATTATGAGATTTATGAGATAAGAATGACGCAACAAAATACCTCTTATACACAGTCGAAACCTTATGATACCGATACCTGGCATAATTTTGGTTTATTGATTTTTTCAAGGTCGTTCCGTGTGCGTATGGCCAGCACAGGGGAAGTGTCCGACTTTCTTGCAAACACAACCCCATATTTAACCCAAACATATTTATAATCACTGGATTTGGCTCGTTCACGACATTCACGAAATAATATTTTGTTCTGGATAGTTAAATGCTCGTTCACGTATATCTTTTGCACAGTGCCGGGTAGTCCCAGTCCTTCCGTATCAAGGTTTTTTTTTTGAACGACATGCAGCAACAATGTTGTCTCGAGCAATCCTTGATGTAAGTTTCACGACAATATTTTTAGGTCTTTTATCTGTCTGACTTGCGTGGGGCACACGATGAACAGCCACAATATCCGATACTAATATTTGTTGTTTCACAGCTGTTCCTAGACTGATTACCATATTGACTAGGTTCTCGTTGCGTTTCTCCGGCACATTACTAATCTCGATGTTACACTCCCTTGCTTGCTGTTGCATTACGGCCAATTTATACTCGAGGGTTTGAACATAATCCGGAAGGTCAGATGTGAGTTGAATTTGTTTTTTTAGCGTAATTAAATCTTTCTCAAACTCATCTTGCCGTGTGTTTTGATTGACATGAGTTGAATTTAAATTCAGCTGGCCCAAAACCTCCGGGCTGTAAAAAAAGACGGGTTGCACTCCGGGAGTCCCGGCAGAAGTGAAAACTTGAATATTAACGTTGTCCATTTTTGATATTTTGCACGAATTGCTTTCATTATCAGTATAAAAGTACTATCATTTGTGTGGTAGAATACAATATTTATTTATTGCGCTATCGTATACAAACATGACAATTTATATTACACTAAAAAAGTTTATCTCTCAGAAAAATCAACTTACATGAATCACGTTTAAGCGCACCTAGCGACATCTATTGTAAGAAAAATGCATTTTCTTCGCAATAAAGTTGCCCCCTGGATGTCCTAGATAGAGACTTATTATTATAATACGTTACGATAAAATAAAATATTACTATGTTTCGTCCAATATATTGAAAGTCAATCACCTTTCCAATTTTATTGTTCTCGTCAGATCCCCGATCAGGCCACGTGCCATGACGCGATCAGCCCACGTGTCCTAACACGAATTTAACATTTTTTACCCATACAAAAAAAAGTGTACAACGCTGCTTAAGAAGTTTTCACTTAAAAAAAGTAGTATATGGTCGCTAGCTCCTCAAATTAATATAACCTTGCTCTCTATCAGCGTAAACGCAGCCCGCCCTCCTCCCTGGCGGAGGTGGAGGCGGAGAGCGGCGCGGAGGCGGGCGAGGATGAGGACGTGCGGCGCGAGCGGCGGAAAGTTGCCACGCTGCTGCACCAACCGCCAGCCAACGCGCCCGTACTAGTGGTGCATGTGAGTCCATCTTCTTTACATATAAATAAAATTAGAGTGTCTGTTTGTACTATTGAAATAAACGCTTTTTACTACATGCATGTAAATATGTATACGGTACATCATCATCAGCCTATTAATGTCCCCACTGCTGGGACACAGGCCTTCTCTATGGATGGAATAAGGAGATTGGGCCATGACCCACCACGCGGGCCCAGTGCGGATTGGCGGGTGCTAACGACTGCAGATGCAGCCGGGACCAACGGCTTAACGTGCCTTCCGAAGCACGGAGGAGCTCGAGATAGTAAATTTTTGGTCACCCATCCAATGACCGACTACTGCGAAAGTTACTTAACTTTAACGATCGAAGCCGAACGCGCTAACTACTTGCGCCATCGAGTTCCTCATAGGGTACATACACCAAAATATCATTTTTTACAATTTTTGTCTGTCTGTCTGTTTGTTCCGGCTAATCTCTGAAATGGCTGGACCGATGTTGACGGGACTTTTATTGGCAGGTAGGTGATGTAATAAGGAGTAACTAAGGCTACTTTTATTTTAGAAAAAAAATTTAACGCGGACGAAGTCGCGGGCGGCCGCTAGTAAAAAATAAGAATATATCACATTTAATATAATATTTCTTTTTGTGACATTCTAAATGTAGCAGCACATTTAGAATGTGTGAAGGTAGTGAAGTAACAGAAATCACATGGAAATTTTGTAGAACCTCATGTGACGCCGATATTATATCCTGACTTCGAATAGGAAGTTGAAATTATGCTTCAGATGCTTAATTAAGTCTTCCTACTAGATAAACAAAATATTTTGACCCTTAATTTATAAAATCTTCGCAAATAAAGCAAACAGAGTCCACGTAGTTTTTACTCATTTTGGAATACATCGTTTCTCTGAATGTGTGTACACACACTGAGTGAGTGCTCTACTGCTTCCTGTTCAATACCCGATATTCTTCTGCAGTTCTTTCTTTTGCTTATTAAAAGCAGTAGTCCCTCAGCCTTTTACTAAATTCAAACATTTTTATACAGCATTGTATAAAGTACAAAAGCAAACTTTTTTAAATAAATATGAGGTTTCTGGTTATTTTTCGATGTAAACAATCAGACAATAGTCATTGCATAACAGACCTATTTTTTTTTTATTTGGTTGATTAGTGATCTAAATATTTCTGTTTAGAACCTGCGCAAAGGGAAGAAGCTGTAGATAACACAAAAAACGAGCGAGCCTTACAGTAGTCGCGTATGATGTGTAACATTTGAAACCTCATCTTATATTAGTAAAAAAAGAATTAAACCTACTACAAAAGGAAAGCCATTTGATCATTATGTTCTAAAATCAAATCAATAAGCGCGCGACTCCTTGTTACACACTTCCGTCCCATTTCACGAAATCACTCCCACAAATTCCAGGAAAGCGAGAGGAAAGATGTTACACATCAAAAAAATCTATTTCAGAACCTCCGCAAAGAGTACAAAGTGCGCGGCACTGCAGGCAGTTGCTGCGGGGGGGACGATGACGTCAGACGTGCCGGCCTCAAGCGGCTCAGCCTGGCGGTCCACGGGGGGGAAGTGTTCGGCCTTCTGGGTCACAACGGTGCCGGGAAGACCACCACCATGAAGATCATCACCAACGAGGAGCGGCCAACTTGCGGCACGGTGAGATAACCTGTCGGTTTGCATATTCCTGCCCTGTTCCAGAGACCAGCAAGTAAAGGCCACCACATGAATAACATCACCAATGAGAAGCACTACAATTGTGGCACGGTGATATTCTTTGCAGGATTCTTTAAAGGGAAAATCTTCTTTGTTAGCTCTGAAGCCGCAATCCTGTATGTTATATTATAATTGTCTCTACTGCAAATTTCGTAATCGCGATGAAGGCTTTCTATACTATGCATATGGCCATCATTAAGTGCGGGGGCAGGAGATGACGACGTCAGATGCGCGTTCTGGGACACAATGTTACCAGGAGAACCACCATCATGAAGATTATCACCAACGAGGAGAGCCCCACTTGCGGCACGGTGAGTTAACATGTTATGCTACAGACCAGGAGTGTCGTAGCTTAGATTCTGGGCCACAAGATTTCCACCATGAAGATTATCACCAACGGGTGTGTCCTACTTGCGGAAAATGGACGTTAAACTAAAAGGAGTTTCAAATTTTTCAATACATTAATTTGGTTGACTTGAAGTTTATAGCGTTCGCTCGAGTTCAAAAATGACCACTTATCTACGTTACCAGAAGCAGATGCTTAAATATTAAGTGACATGACCTCCCCATTAGCTAATTTCTAACGATCCGTTACTGGTCACCGGTGCTTCAGAACGAAGATGCCTAAAATATTAACAGACATATTCTCCCCATTTCCTCCTTCTTCAAGCTGTTTAAAAGTTAAGGGAAGTGATTTCCTCATTTCTAATCGCTCCATTATCGGCTCCAGGTGATGCTAGGTGGTGAGAACGTGAGCGAGTCCCAGACGTCCACGTTCCAGATGCTGGGCTACTGTCCTCAGCATGACGCTTTGTGGAAGAACGTCACCATACGAGAGCACATCGAGTGTTATGCTGCGATACGAGGTGTCAGCAAAGCAGATACGCCCAGGTAACAGGATTATTAATAGGTACAAATAAGAAATGTCGCTCGAAATAAAGGTGTTGTGTTTCTGTCGGTATGTAAGGTTCCAGGGCTCTACGAGGTAGGGGATTGGGTCAGAGTAGGCGACGGCGCGAAGGATATTTTTTTATATTGCCTACGTCTATAGTCTATGGTGGCCGCTTGCCATCAGGCGGGCCATATTTGTCATCCTTTTAGCATTAAAAAAGGTAACAGGATTTTTAATAGGTACCTCTTAAGAAATGTTGCTAGAAAAAAAAATGTCTAGAGTCGATAGGGAAAGAATAAGAGAACACGAAACTTCGACATTCCTATGACCAGACAGCCATTGTAGACAATTTTGAAAGAAAAAATAGTTTAAGCATATGAAGTCGATATGAATAGAATGAGATTGTACCATCAGGGGCCTACCGCCTATAGGCATTGCTATGGATAAAGCTATCGCTTAAGATTTCATTTTGTTATATCTCACCGCCAGCGCCGTAGGTTTTCAAATCACTCACACTCATTTTCTTAATAGAAAAAAAAGAGCGCGAGGCCTTTGTAAACCTTCGGCGCTCAGTAATAACAAAATGATATTGTAAGCGATAGCTATAGCCATAGTAATCCCGTTAGGCGGTAGATCCCTGGGGTATCTGAACCTTTAGCATTAAAGGTATCTAGGATATTAAATTTGATTATTTTGCGAAACCAGCTGAATACCAAAGCACAAGTTGCAGCTCAGCGTGTGCTTCCAACTTTTTGGCGTTCTAATACTTACACGTCTCTATTTATATTAAAGATTTTGCATAATGGAGCATCGAATAAATATATCACTTATTAAAAAAAGTTAATCGTCTGAAATCTATCAAATTATGGACGGAATCTATTTTTATTTAAATATCAGTCGTCCATATAAAGCTTGTGCTCCAGCAGTGGGGACATTAAAAGGGTGATAATAATGATTGATTTAATATTTACTAGAATCGTAGACGCTTACCTCAACGGGCTGCAAATAATGGAGCATGCGGGCAAGAACGCCGAAGAATGTTCTGGAGGAACTCGCCGGAAGCTCAGCTTCGCATTGGCGATGGTGGGGAACCCGAAAGTGGTGCTGCTGGATGAACCGTCTACGGGGATGGACCCTCGGTCGAAGAGGTTCCTGTGGGACACCATCCTGGCTAGTTTCCAGGTAGGTTGGGGATTTTTGGAGTTTTTCAGATTATTGTTGAAATATTGTAGCTAGTTTTTAAGGCAACTACAAGGTGGTGCTGCTGGATGAACCGTCTACGGGGAGGGATCCTCGATCCAAGAGGTTCCTGTGGGACACCATCCTGGCTAGTTTCCAGGTAGGTTGGGGATTCTTGGGGGTTTTGAGGTTATTGTTGAAATATTATAACTAGTTCTTAGGGCAACTACAAGGTGGTGCTGCTGGATCAACTGTCTACGTGGATGGACCCTCGATCCAAGAGATTCCTATGGGACACCATCCTGGCTGGTTTCCAGGTAGGTTGGGGATTCTTGGGGGTTTTGAGGTTATTGTTGAAATATTATAACTAGTTCTTAGGGCAACTACAAGGTAGTGCTGCTGGATGAACCGTCTACGGGGATGGACCCTCGATCCAAGAGGTTCCTATGGGACACCATCCTGGCTGGTTTCCAGGTAGGTTGGGGATTCTTGGGGATTTTGAGATTATTGTTGAAATATTGTCGCTAGTTTTTAAGGCAACTACAAGGTAGTGCTGCTGGATGAACCGTCTACGGGGATGGACCCTCGATCCAAGAGGTTCCTATGGGACACCATCTTGGCTAGTTTCCACGTAAGTTGGAGATTCCTTAAAATCTTTTGAGTTTGAAATGTAGCCCCAGTGAGTTGGTGACAACGCAGGCTAGCTCGCGTGGTCTTCTGAAGGAAAGGGGAAGGTGGGATAAGGGAGAATAATACCTCAAAAACTCATAGTGGAATAGACAATAGAATACGCTTAATGTAATTGAAGAGTTGGAGGTGTTTGGGCTTCAAGTTAGGTTGGGACTACTTGGAGTTTTATAAATCGTTGGTGTAATATTGTTACTAGTCTTAAGCTCAGCTTCGCATTGGCGATGGTGGGAAATCTCAAGGTTGTGCTGCTAGATAAACTGTCTACGAAAATGGACCCTCGATCCAAGAAGTTCTTGTAGGACACTAAACTGCCCAGTTAGGTAGGTTGGAGATTCTTGGGGGTTTCGAAACTGTTGTTAAAATATTTTGAACTAGTACTAAGGCCGCGCTTTTTTTTTCTGTATTTGAATTTGACTATAGTTAATGTCACATCAAATACATAGTAAACATGTTAAATTTTGACAAATGGATATTTATTCTCTAGTATTTTAACTATAGTCAGATTTAACTGTAGATGAAACAAGGTCTCAGGTTGTTAAAAATTGCATACAAAAATGAAAAAGCGGTTAGCGGCCAGTGCGTGCTTACTATCAGTTGATAAGTTATCATAGAAATCGTTATATTCAGTCTTAAAAAAAACATATATGTATCGTCATTAAGGTGACTTCGCGAGTAGATACAGCAAGTAATTTGTCAAATGGTTATTCTTAACTTTTTGATCTAACACTACTCAAACTATATATGCCACAACCTACCCATATTATTTTTTGTTTTCAGGGCAAAAAGGGTGCTATTTTGACGACACATTCCATGGAAGAGGCTGATGCTTTATGTTCTAGAGTCGGTATTATGGTTAAAGGAGGTTTAAGGTTGGTAAAATTCATATTTTTAATTGCTTTCCTTTGTTTTTTCAGCTTAGGAGCTTATATCAGCTTTACTAATCTTGTTTCAGATGTATTGGTTCAACACAGCATCTGAAGAATTTGTACGGTGCAGGTTACACGCTAGAAATGAAAATAGGGCAGAATAATCAAAAGACATCGGTGAGATATAAAAGTGCTTAAAGTCTTAGTTAAACAAAACTATATATTTGAAAATGTTCCCGGACTTTTGTAAATGATTCCGATAATTCATAAACATTATGGGATTCTTGATGTAAGCTACATATTTTTTTTATTAAAAACACCGCGGCAGAAGTATTGTACGTTGAAATTGCCGTAGTGTTGTGATTTTTTTTATTCTAAAGAAGTTCTCACACAAGCGATAAAAGAAATTTCGGTAACAACACATTTTCATACTAATTTTAATGATCTTCAAAAAAAACAATTAAGTGTCTTCATATTCTTCGAAATTAAATAAAAAGGTATATATAAATATTTTAGCTAGAAATTAATGATGTTCTAATAATTTCACAGATAGAACCAGAACTATCGATATCTCCGTCACCGCTTCGTTCGACAGAAAATTCGCCGTCATTAGGCGAGGCTGATGAAGGTAATTTTAAATTTTATAAACTCCCAACCAAAACTATTTCTCAATATCGCAAATGGGGTTTAAATTATAGATTTATAACAAAATCAATTCGTGCATATAACAATCAGTGCTGTGTCGTCGTCGAGACATTTTCTCTTGTTCTCTTTAAAAGTATTTTTTTATGATAATGCTGAATTCAAAAAATTAAACATCCAAAGCATTCTAGTCTTTAAATTGCCTTAACATCAGAATCACACAGTCTCTTTTAATTTCATACTAAGTGTTGAGCAATGAGGGTGTTTAGGTTTTCCTAAACCTTTTGCGTCACCGGTTGGCGCCACTGTGGTTGTTGTGGAGGTTTCTTGTATGAAGTTCTTGGCGCGAATTAATCGAACGAGCATTTAAATTGATCTATAGACACTGACGACATACCTGATTTGACGGTTGATTACCTTTCGTCTCAGTGCTGCAACCTAGCGCCCATCTTTCCGGAAAACTCATTGCTGTCATTAGTAAGTCGATAGACTTACAAATTTAAATATTACATCACATTTATAATAAATTGTCTCCTAGTAATACCAATTTTCTTATGTATAAAATTATTTAAACGATCGAAATGTCTGGATATAACCCATCTATTCCCATCCTTTACTCATTAAAGTTATCACAATGCAATAATAAAAAATCTTGATTTGTAACACATGAATGTAATTATAATGTAGTATTGGAAACACATGATTTTTTTGTAAATGTCGCTTCTTCATAAAAATCTGAAAAGTTTCTATCGCTTGTTTTTCTTGTCAACTATATGATATCCTGAACTGGTGGGAAAAAAATATAAGGACGAATTAAAACAGCTTTTTATAAGTCAACTTGAATAAAGTTTATTTTCATTTCAATTTACGATATATTATTATCAGGTTCAGGCGGCGGGTCCGCGTGTCAAGAAGCGGAAGCGGAGGCGGAAGCAGAAGCAGAAGCGGTTGATGTCAGCATACACACACCACTAGTTGCCGGCACGCCGCCCGCTGCTAGATCGCATCACCGCAGGTTCATAAACACCCAGACAAAACTTGCTTGCACACTAGCGGACCCCACACTTTAATAAATATTTATTTACGCTAATCACACTTACTCACTTACTTTCGATCTCTCTAATTAGGCTAGCAAAAAACAAGCAATGTAAGACTGGGATTTAAACTCAAGACATGACTTAAGAGTAGGCGACACATTCCGCCTTATTACAAAACGGTGACTAAAGTAAACCAGCACCATAATTTACATTATATCACGTTTTTTATCGCGTCTTACTGTCAAACTCTATAGTAATTTGACAGTTAAGCGTGATAAAACGTGATTTATGTCATATCGCGGAGCTCATGCTAGGGGGGCAGGTTTAGGTTTAAAAAGAAGACGGAGAGAGCATTAGGTTTTAACCATAACTAAGTAGCTTGAAATAAAATACCACTTTACCGTGCTTCCGGTTGACTTCATTTTAACTTGATTGCAGTGCCACTTCGGTCTAACCACCCAGAAACCCATTCAAATGCACACATAAAAATACATCAAAATCGGTAGACGTTAGAATAAGTTTAATTACACAACATATATATTTTGGGGTGCTAAGTCCAGCCTTGTCCCCGTAGCATGAACACCACAATTTACACTTTATCACGTTTTCATTATCGTTTTTTTTTTGTTGTGTCTTACTGTCTAACTTCATAGTAATTTGACAATTGAGCGTAATAAAAAGGAGCTATATATCATACCGTGATGCTCTAAACTAAAATGAAACCATTACACCTCGTTATTTACACTTTATCACGTTTTCTATATCGTTTTTTTTTTTGTTGTGTCTTACTGTCTAACTTCATAGTAATTTGACAATTGAGCGTAATAAAAAGGAGCTATATCGCGGAGCTCATGCTAGGGGGGCAGGTTTAGGTTTAAAAAGAAGACGGAGAGAGCATTAGGTTTTAACCATAACTAAGTAGCTTGAAATAAAATACCACTTTACCGTGCTTCCGGTTGACTTCATTTTAACTTGATTGCAGTGCCACTTCGGTCTAACCACCCAGAAACCCATTCAAATGCACACATAAAAATACATCAAAATCGGTAGACGTTAGAATAAGTTTAATTACACAACATATATATTTTGGGGTGCTGAGTCCAGCCTTGTCCCCGTAGCATGAACACCACAATTTACACTTTATCACGTTTTCATTATAGTTTTTTTTTTGTTGTGTCTTACTGTCTAACTTCATAGTAATTTGACAATTGAGCGTAATAAAAAGGAGCTATATATCATACCGTGATGCTCTAAACTAAAATGAAACCATTACACCTCGTTATTAAACTACTAACTTTTATTACATATATGATTATAAAATATTTTCTTTACTAGAACCGAGTCGAGCGGGGGTGGATTGAGCGCAGAAGCGGCTATAGCTTTAGTAGGGCAGTTGTTTCCGGCAGCCATTTTGGAGGAGAATTTCGCCGAAAGACTAGTGTTCTCCGTGCCTCAATCGGCTGTTTCAAGTCTAGCTAGATGTTTCCAACAAATCGAAGATGGTGAGTAACAATGAAACTATTTCTTTATTATGTTTTCACGCACAGAAATCGTTAAATTAAATACTTTCTAATGGAATAGTAATAATATTTTTACATATTTCCGACGTATCGGATCCTTTACAAGTTTCGTTTTCATGAAAAATGAAATAGACAAAAACTTAAAATTAAGTATAAAAATATTTACTTCATTTTATCCTGTACGGAGTACACTAAGAGAAGAATACACTGTTGTTAAATTTAGGTTTAAGAGAAACATGCCAGAATCGGGCCCAGTGTCTATCTAAAATTATAATAGTGGAAAAGGAAAGTAAATCGTATATAATTTTCGTGGGCACCAGAAAAACCGTAACAGTTTGGGCGCCAACATAAGTAACACGTTTGGGCGCCAACATAAGTAACATGTTTGGGCGCCAAACATTGGTAAAATTGTTGGAAGTTAAAAATAAATAATCAGTATCAGATCAGTTTTTCGGTTAAAGACTTGCACCTAGTACAAAGAGATAATAGTTTGCACTCAAAAAGAAAGAAAAAACTTACTTTTTAAGAATTAACAGAAAATGAAAATACTAATTAAATTCCTTCATTTTCTTTGTATAGCGAAAGAGAAGCTGAACATTGTCGAGTACAGTTTCAGCCAGACAACATTAGAGCAGGTGTTCCTTAAGTTTGCACAATCGGAGAACGTGGAATCACAAGACCCAGAGCACTAATCTACAAATAAGAAAGAGCTGCAGCGTGCTTCAAATGCAAAAATAGGTTCTTTCCAAGCCGTCAGAGAAGTTTAAGACACTTTTTGCTGCTGGATAAATACAAAATAGGCAAATAAAAATGTCCCTGACGAAAAGTAAAGTGCAATAAGAATCCTTAGGAATGTGACAAAAATTGAAAATTGAAAAGCCGTCTTTGTAAACGCAAATATGACGTATGCCATTTACGGTCATTTTGAATAGACAGTGGCGCCACAAAATAGATATAACAGAAGGTATTCTCATTTATGTACCTCACTTTGCATACCTACGCTCGGTGGTCGCGCTATTATTGTTAACCGCTTGAGTGAAAAGAGTATGTATGTTGAATTCAAACCATCTATTGAACAGATATATTAAGTTGTTTTTGTGCCTGCATTTCTGCACGAAGAAGTTCACATAGGCATCTCTCAAACATATGACACTCGCGCTCGCAGTGGTCTAAAGTGATTCGAGATTTGTGTCCGTGAGGGTGGTCTATGCTTGCGTTGCTCGAGCGCATTTTGTATGTAAATTACCTTTTGTTATGTCTGTTAAGTGGTGGCGGCCTCTCTGAACTGTCACTCACATTCATAAAAATCCTTGTCGCACTGTAACAAAACAAGTGGTTGAACCAGAATAATTGACGGCCAGTTTCAACAATTATACTACAGTAAGTGATAAGCCAAGATGATGACATTCGTAGGCTGGCTGGAGTGTTCTGGATGAGAGTGGCAGAAAATCGGGAGCAGTGGCGTGCATTAGGGGGAACGAGCATGGGTCAATGATGATGATGATGAAGTGATAGGCTTGTTAGAGCTTTGTTGTCTAGATTTTTTATTATTTAGATTCTAAATAACAACTGTTGTTAACAAACTGAACCAGATTATGCTTACCATTTACTGGAAGTTGATTATTGAAACTGGCTGTTAGAAAAATATTTGCAAGATTAAAACGAAGCAGTCCTTCTCGATCTATCTAGTTTGTGGGTGATAGTTAATCACAGTCGCGGTGTGTTTGACTTGGCGACTGTTCTGATGCAGTATTTTCGGGCACTGTCCAATTTCACCATTGTATTTGGCTGTTTTCTTTCCAGTGTTTTTATAATAAATTTACCGCTACTAACGAGACTATTATATTAATGTTAATGTTTATTCTTCATAAAATAGCGTTGCAATTTTAAGTAACCCCAATCCCACCTAGATTATACCAACTTCATTGTGGTATTCGTTGGAAGTAAGAATAAAATATCTTATTTACTAATAAAAAGATCATGGGAATGGACTTACATCAATAGATCATTATTTGCCTGGACAAAACCCCCTTGCTTCTGCCTTTATTATAAGCATAGCCCTTAAAGCAATAATCACAATATTCCTATATTAACTACTTGATAAAGTAAAATGATTATTGAGTGTGTACGCAAACGTTGTGAGAATTTCGCTGAACTAGGTTTAAAACACACTACAATCGCAGGAATGCCTTTTCGAAATAGGATTAATATGCTTATTTGTAAATAACAATAATCTAGATGAAACTAGTGTTAATTTTATAACCTGTGAAGGCACCTAATGGCGATTTGTCGGGAAAGCTTAAGCAAAATGGTGCATGGCTAGTGGATTTTTTAATACGTTAAAAATTTAGAATGATAATTTATATATATATATGTTGAATAGGTTATTTGGATATTATCGCCGAGTCAAATAAATCGTTTTGAAAACACGAGTCTTTGCTTTAAATGAGAAAAAAATTAAAAACAGTGTAAAAATTAATAAAAAAGCTTCTGGTTATATTCAAAGTTAGTATGTATGTATGTAGTTTGTTTCGTTGAGTTTTTGTAAGGCTTATTTATAAGATTTCCGGTTGATGAGAGAATATTAATTAGGTGTCGTAGTTATATTAAAAACTAATTGACTGTGTGAACTTTTTTATATAATTTCTTACTTTGTTAGCGAATTTTTTATGCAATTATTATTATATCGTCAAACATGTCAGCACTGCGTTTGAACCTTGTAACTTAGATAATAAAAACAAAAATAATAAAATAATATGAGCAGACAACAAATTTGCTGAAAATATAAAATGAGAGAAAATCCGTTTTCTATTCTACCTAATCCCCCTTCTTAGTAAACGAGAATAAGCTTGGTGTAGTTACTCTATGTTTTGTCACTGTTCATTGTATTACAAATGGAACTCGAGTGCAGTGCCGTCTTTGACCTATTGGAGGCCCTGGGCATATTAGGATAATGGGGCCCCTATGACCCCCGTTTGGTGATCTAACAAGAACTAGGGACTTTGTGTTTGTGATCTGAGGTGCCCACCTATCGATCACGGGGCCCTGGGCACTTGCCCAAAGTGCCCACTGGGAAAGACGGGTCTGCTCGAGTGCTATGAACAAAAAAGGGCGTAACTAGTCTAACCTTATTCCTCGTTTATTTATAAGGGGGAATGAGTTTCGTAAAGTTTCTACATTCTCTTGTTATTAAAAAGGCATTAGAATCTAAGTTTATACAGTATAGTTTCCAGTTGGAATTATATTTACTTAATTTAAAAAGTGAATTAAGAAAATTATAAAATAAAGCTGGAAGTGCTTCGCGAATTGAAGCAGGATCTAATTTATTAATAACATAAATAAAGACTACATATTTTGGTATTCCAAAAACAAGCGTTAGATAAACTTTAAAAAATGGGGGGCACAAACGCAGTGTTTTCTTTAGTATAATTATAATTCTCTTATAACAATGAATTTATCAAAGGATGTACACGGTGCCTCCACAAACGACAAGCGGGCACGATTTTTTATATAATTTCCTTTACTGTAGGTATTATTTGAAGCTTTACTGTTTTTCTAGTCAGTTAAAGTAGATTATCATTTTGTGGTACTTTAGCTAGCATGATATGATAATATACTATTACTTATATGAGTAATCCAATTTAATATTGGAGAATCAAAGATATTCTAAGTTTTTATTTAAAAAAATGTAAGTAACTGTGAGTTGCGTCAACAAGTTATAATTAAGAATTATAAGTTGCGCTTTAAACTTTGTTAAACTATGTCAGAATGTGACAGAAATATATACGTAATAAATATCCTTTATTTAAAAACTACCTTGAATCAAAATGCATAGCGGATTTTATTGTTAAATCATGGGAGATCTAATAGGAACTTATTACATTTTTTAAGAAAATAATATACTATTAAGTGTAATCAATAAAGTTATGAAAATTTGTGAAATTAATTTATGCAGAGGTTTTTATAATTATTCTATTTTAAATTGTTTCATATGAAATATTATTAAAATTCAATAAAAAAGTAACAACATTGGCCATTCAAGTTTAGTACAAATAAATATTGAGATGATTTCAAATATTCTTCAGTCTAGTCACTATTATTAAGCATTTTTTTTATTCTATATCATCATCATCAGCCTATTAATGTCCCCACTGCTGGGGCACAGGCCTTCCCTATGGATGGAATAGGGAGATTGGGCCATGACCCACCACGCGGGCCCAGTGCGGATTGGTGGGTGCTAACGGATGCAGATGCAGCCGGGACCAACGGCTTAACGTGCCTTCCGAAGCACGGAGGAGCTCGAGATAGTAATTTTTGGTCACCAAGTAATTTAAATAATGATATCTCAACCTGTGGATTTCGGAAATACCAATAGACCAATACAAATAATTTTTTGGCCTGCTCCGTTTATCCATACCAAGTTGTCCATCGTGGTATGGCAGAAAGGAATATTTTTCCACTCAACCTAGGTAAACCTTCGAGTATGGAAAACAACTTTTCTATTCTTATCTGCTTCTCAAAAAAACCATAAAAGGTTCTCATCACTGTTCCTAAAATCGTTTATTTTACTACAATTAATTCTATATCAACTATATAATCATTTATAAATAACAAAAGCAACACTACCTAATATCCTAATGTCTAAAAAATTCAATTGGCAAACGAGTAAGAGAAGATAATTATGTCTTGTCATAATTCTGTGTCATAAGTGTCTTCATGTATTTGAGTTACCTTATTTCATCCAGATAATGTCACTTAATTTTGTCATTTTACGTATTTTATCTGAAATGTGTTTGCTCACTAAATCTTGCTAAAACATTGTCAAACCAATTGAAATGCGTGTGTTTTACCAAAACTGTATTCAGTTACAACTGTTATTTTATTAAGGCCTGTTTTTTTAGATGAAAATTTATTATTTTCACATCTAGCTGTATTATAGCTATTAACGGGATTGTTACCATGTACCTTATTTATTATGAGTCTCCGATAATCTACTTCCATGACTCCGTGATCATGGCGATTGCAACAGTGCCGAAATATCGGAGACTCATAAAAAACAAGGTACATGGTAACAATCCCGTTAATAGCTATAATGTTAGCGACCATGAAAGTTAAAAACAATATATCTATCTGTATATTTGTTAAGTCGCTGCACAAGCTATTGGTTTCTTGTAATATTTTTTATTAGTTTATTAACTATATTTCTAGATTAAAGCACTTTTTACATAAATTATACTGCATTCTGCAGATATTTCTCAATGTATTTGTGTTCAATTGAGATAATGAAATAAAAATCCTTGCCATGAGCTTGTTTCGTCAGTTCTTCTCTGACAGTCCACTCTTTTTAATCATCATCGCATTAATGTCCCTACTGCTGGGGCACAGGCCTTCCCTATGGATGAAACAGAGAGATTGGACCATAACCCACCACGCTGGCGCAGTGTGAATTGGTGGGTGGCACTCATCATAGATTAAAGAAAACTATTAAAATTCAATTAACCTGTAACGGAACAAAAATAAAAACATAATATTATATTAGTTTAAGACAATACTCGTATAATATGGTAATTAAAATTGCGAGATTTGTTGAGGCCAATCTTAAGTTTAATATTAGGCATAGTATGAAATGTACCTGTTCTTTTTTATTCTTATGTTTTTTTAATGCCTTTAAGACAAGAAAGATCATGCAAACATTATCTGTGTTCTATGAAAATTATTGTTAATTATCATAATTATATCATAAATGTCGTGTATATCATCATATCATTAAACATTAGTGTTATAAAGACGTCGATCCAATATTTTCTTTACTGAGTTTTTAAGCATAATTACTGTATAATTTATTTCAGAAATGGGTCGTAGTGAAATTATTTTTAAAAGGCCTCAAAATATTAACAATTTTGTATCAGTTATTAATGTTAAAATTATCATTCCTGTTTTTGTAGTTTCCTTTCTGATTGCACTAGCAGTAATAAGTGAGACTCTTTCTATTAAAAAAAGCAATAAACCAAATAAAATAACAAGTCTTAAGTTTGTTACATTTTAAATAAGCATTACATTCAGAATACCTAATAATTATGTCGTTCAAACGAGTAAATTTATAACTGCTCTGTTCAAAGGCGAAATTAATAGAAAGTATCACTATTATACCAAATTTAAAGTAAAGTTTA